CTTTCAGTCACAGTTACAATACAGTATAACCATAGTTACGGTCACAATAATCCCAAACATGCCCTCATCCAATGACCCCTTACTAATTTACACAGCTATGAAGGAACTTTTGCGTTGTCTTTTATTTTCAATGACTAGATTAGACACAATTACACAGAATAGAAGAAGACTTAGTGGAAACTCAACTTTATTCGTTCATAACCATTTCTTGTCCAGGGGGGGAAGAACCTTCTGAAGCCTCACCAGCCTATAAACGTAGATTTATTACTTCTTACATGAGGAACTACAATTGCTTGATTTCTGGATTTGCAAATTTTTTCTTTTTTAGAAAAACAAGGTTGATTGGTGGCAAATCCACTTGTGATCAAAGCTGAAATAACACATTTAGAAGATTTTCTACTATGAAAACAGTGAACAACTTGCATAACCATGACAACCTATGGGTTTTCACCATATCAAACTGTATTTAATATGTATAGCTTATTATAGTGCAGGTCGTCATTTAAAATTTTTTTTTTTTTTGAAAGATATGGCTAAAAATCCACTTATAAGTTAATATTTTTAAAAATCAATTGTTGGATTATAAATTATATTTATATAAATCATGTATGTTAATTTTCAAATTAATCTAATATATATAACCTTTTGATAAAAAAAATTATTTATTGACATATTTAATAGTGATAAATTTTGTGTAATTAATATGAAAATTAACATGTATGATCTATATAAATAAAATCTTTAATCTAATGGTTAATTTTTAAAAATATGAAGTAAAAAAATAAGTTTTTAGACAAGTCCAAAAAAAAAAAAAAAATTTAAGAGGATGACCTACAAAACAATTTTCTCATATATGTATATGCACGTTCTAAACCAAAACTTTGCTATATTCCACCCTACAATACACTGACCACATGCGGCAGCTTTCTACGTTGAAAGAATAAGAACAAAATATGGTCAATCCAAAATGGCAGGAGGCAGGATATGATGGAAGCTTTGCCCAGAAAGCAAAATGGCATGCTAAAAGATCAGGTCAAGTTTAAGATGATAGAATGGATTACAAGGTCAACGGTTGCTGGGGCTGCAAGGATGACCAAGTCGATGCTAGGGTAGTAGGTGGTAGTGATTGTTGAATATGCATCCACAGAATAACCATTCTACTGGTGGTCTGCTAAATTGCTTTATCAGTCCAACATGAACAGATTCTCACCTTTCCACCATTGAACATAGCTGATCATGGACAACCCAGGCCTGAATCAGATCAGCTTTTATCAGCGGGCAACTTAACCATGCAGGAACAACCTGCAGTTGGAACAGGTAGAAAGGGTAAGAAAAGATGCAGTCAAATTTGGCATCTAGTAATTTAGGATAAAATGACGCAAACAAGCAATTTTCTGCAATAGACAAAAGTTCAACACCAGATGAAACTCAGTTACTGTTATGAATTAGTCTCCAACAAGCTAACACTGAGGCTTGTAACTACAGTTGATAATTTTGTAGGATAGCCCAAGTTCTAGTGCATCTATAAAGAATCACGTTGGCAACCTTGGGAGCACATATAAGAATCACCATTTTGATCAGTTAAGGAAAAGAAATTGTGTATAGAAACCAGATGCTTGATATCTTTTCGCCCAAATTTTTCCTTTTCTGTAAGACGTATACAACAACCCCTACAATATAACAAACACCTGCCAGATCACCAGCATGCAGATCTTGAATGCTTCCACCAAGCCCAATAAATAACCAAGATGACATAATACAACTTTGATATTTGAATTGTCCAAGACAGTGACAAAAACTCAAAGCAATACTAAAGCACTAGGAAGAAAGAATTAACAAATCACCACCTTGCACAGGACATCTCTCATGAAGCTTCAAGCAACAATCCAGGATATGCACATCTATAAGTCAACAGCTTGTATGCATGATAATATCCTTGAGAAGTACATGAGGGATGGCTTCATTCACTATTTGCAACAGATATTCAGCACCTGAGGAGAGGTTAACATTAATGGAAGATTATCAGTAAGCTCCACAACAAGAAGAAACTGTTGAATGTATCCCTACTTTTGTCATTTAAAGTTTGAAAGCTAACAAAAAACAACCTACAAACAACTTGCTAAATCCATAGTGAATGCAGTAGCTGAAAACCATTATGATTTTGGAATCAAATAAGCCACATGTGCAATATGTCTATTCTAATTAACAACTTTCTTCTATGAAACCCAAATAAAATCATTAAAAGAAAGTAGCAGCAGCATCTAGAAGCAAATAGTCTCATATTATCACCTTAAACTTATGCATGTAAAAAGAGGAGTAATAATTTTTGGATGGCAGATTACTGGAATAGAAATACTTAGCTGTTCATCAAATGACAGCATAACTGAATTTATCAGGATAGACCTGACCATTAGGAAGGGGGATTACTAGAGATAGCTTTCTTTTCTCATGAGTCATACAGAGGAAGTATAAAGAATCACAAGGAAATTAGTTATGTGTCAAGAAAAACCAAATTATATACCTTGCATAAGAAGGAGACCAGCTGTAAAAGCAATGCCAATAGATGTAGCCCAGTGTTCCCTGGCCTGCATCAACTCACCTGTAAAAAATAGTTAGCATGCAAGAAAAAAAAGTAAGCAGAGAATATGAAGAGGAAAGGAAGAAAGAGGAAAAAAAAAACAGAAAACAAGTTTCATAACTCTAATTAAGACAAAATAACTTCACTAACCTAATACAAGATTAGTAAATACTGAAAAAAACCTCAACAAAGGTCATAGTTTCATAACTCTATGAAGATATTAAGTGCTAACTGCAAATGATCTAGAAAAGTTACTTGAGAAACAGCTTGCTTGCATAATTGATGTACTATCTCATCATTCATTATGACTCCTACAGCGTAACAGAGATACAAACAACAATTAGCAATTCTATGCAAATTTCCATGCAAAAATATTAGCAGTAGTAGATTCATATAATCATATCCATGCAAATTAATTCCTTTCCATCAATAAGAAAATTTTCAAAAAACTACCATTTGAAGCTTCACAAAGAAAATATTGTATCCTAACTTCACAGCTCATGCTAATTAAAAAAAAAAAAAAAATGTATCCTAACTTCACGAGACACACAATATGGCAAACCAGAAAAAAGTTCACATAAGATAAGCCTAACTCTCCAAGTTATATTACATTACAACAGAATCTTAGACTGAGTTACCGCAATTCTATTTTGCAACTACCATACGGCATCTCTCTATAGATAACATGTCTCTTCTATAACATAGTACAAAGCTTTTCTCAGAAATATAACAGAAAAAATAAGCACAAATGAAATGTCTTTGACCATCCTCTCTGACAATACCACCATGCCCATCAGAGGAATATAGATTTAAAACAACATCTCCTTGGACAACCTGATAATAATTGAATCATTTCACACAAAATCTACCCTGAACGAACTTCCACATAGCATTTCAACATCTATCACATAAGAAAATCAGATTGCTACTCTAAAATGGGTGCCGAGAAGGAAACCGTGGAAAAGGAATTCTACAAAATACGAGAAAGCACCATCTACAATTAAAATGAGAAAAGAAAAAGGAACTTAATTTTATTCGTGCATCTAACCACTTCAATAAAAGAGGAACAAGTGTGAATTTTTAAAACAAAAACCCAAAATCAAACCTTTATCGTTGCCACTCTAGCTTGCCTGCATGTACTCCAACCCAATCACCTACAAAACCAAATTACACAAACAAACTCCCAGTAAATCAATTCCTTCATAGAAAGAAAAACATTACTGAAATAAAAATTACAGAAAAATTCTTGACCTATCAAACACGGGCTAATGGAGGCGTACATTGGACAAATAAAAGGTAGGTTTTGTCAATAGGATTAGAATTGAAGGATAAATTAGGAGTGAATCAAAAAACAAAGCTTCAAAATCAAACATTGAAATAAATTCCAGTCAATTACATACGTTAATGACATTCACTTTGATGGCATGGCGTTGAATGGCGGATCACGGTGATCGAAGAATGCAGGAACCGGCATTTCCATTGGCAGACAGGGGGGCGGTCAAAGTCCGATTACGATGATGAGGGAGACGGTGAGCGGATGCTGGAAGTATAGAAAAGGGGCTGATCTCGTAGAGCTTCTTCCTCAGCCGGAGATCTCGATAACTCGTTTACCCTTCGACGTTGCATCATCTGTCACAGGGATTCACATTTCTACTTCAGAGGAGATGCGGGGGTACTCAATACTTTAACACAAGTGTAGAAATGGGAAGACTTGCGTTATCCAGCTAAATTCGTACGTATGGCCACACAAAAAGATTGCATTTTTATTTTCGTATCTTAAGATAATTTTTTTTTTAACATTTTAGTAATGTATCAGTTCAAATTGTTACATTTGAGAGGGGATATATGAAATTTACAAAAGTGATTAGTATCATTTGGCCTACAGGTTCTTAAGATAATTTTTTTTTATTTTGATTATATAATAAAATATAATTATTTTTTATCTCTTATTTTATTTTATTTATATATCATACCAATTTGTTAGATTATTAAATTTAATATTAATTTAATAAAATTTTTATTATATAATTAATTAATATTAAAATCTTTTTTAAAAATTTAAAAAAATATATTTGTACTCAAAATCTCTTAATTTTAGTACAAAAAATAACCACTAAATTATATAAATAGTTGATTATATCTTTAAATAATTAGAAAATAGATACCAATTAAATACATATAAAAATAAAAATACTTAATTTAAAATCGACATAAAAAAAAAAATAAATGGGTTCTCTAGACCTTAAATTTAAATTGTTAGTAACAGTGATCTAATAATTTTGTAAATTAAAGTTCATGCACATTTGAAAATTTTAATTCAAATTAATAATAATAATTAATTATCACACGAAACCTCAGTCCATGGCTTGTATGATCACTATGCAGGTTCCACCTCTATCATTTGGTTTCAACTTCCTTGTATTCCTATTCCACCTTCCCCAGTTGTCACAATTTCCTTCCATTTAAAAAAAAAAAAAATTGTGTCACATATATATCAATTATAGTTACAGTTATATCTTGACATGGGATTCGAAAAA